AAACGGGGGAGTGGGTGGGGGGGTGGGGTGGGTGGGGGGGGGGGGGGGGGCGGCTGATGGGAGGATACAGGGAGGTTGAAGGGGAAACTACTTCACGCAAAAGCCCACCCAGCACCTATCTAAGACCCTTACACTTTTCCGTTCTCACCCCTCCTCCTCCCCTTACCCCCAGCCCATAACAACACCACACCCTCTCCCCCTTCCCCGTGAGTATATTCCCCCCCCCCCCCCCCCCCCCCCCTTTTTTTTTTTTTTTTTTTTTTTTTTTTTTTTTTTTNCCCCCCCCCCAACGCCCCCTCTATTTTGTTTTTGTTTATATTTTTCTTGCTTCTCTTTTTTTCTTCCTTTCTTTTTTTTATTGGGTGGTCTTTTTTTATTTGCAGCTCAGTCAGTCACGACTCTTCCCCCTACCGTCGGCGCTGCACAGTGACTGCCTCTCCTGACGCAGCCAACGCGCACATGACTCACTTTGGCAGTCACGACTCGGGAATCCGCGTTGTTTCCACTGAAATTACACGCTCGGTGTTGCATTACTGCGCGAGGGCTCGACACGGGCGCGTTTTACGCCACGAAAGGATAGAAGAAATTGTGTCTTTTTCCTGTTATTGTTTTTCTTTCTTTGCTGTGTGTGTGTTGTTTTTTAAGAGGTGGAGCGATGTATCGTAAATGTCGCCCGAAGACGGATTTTTTTTGTTGTTGTTGTTGTTTTTTGCATGGAAAAGGCGTTTGTTACGGTTTTTCTCTCTCCCCCTCGTCTCCCTCCTATCCTTCTTTGTTGTACGGAAGCCTCGAAGTTCGCAATGCTGAGAAATTTGTCTCATTCTGATTGTCAGGGCAGCGTGCTGTCCGCTGCTGTCCCTGCCGGGCTCGCAGAGCCTTGCAGACAGTCGCCATAGTGCCTCCACCACGTTAAAAACAAAAAAAAAGGTGGGGGGAGGCTTGGGGGGGTATCCCTTTCTCCTTTTCCCTTCCCTCTGTCTGAGAGGCTAGAGGCCACGGTGGCAGGCAGCTGCTGCTTCATCTCCCACTCGTGTTCGCCCTCCGCTCGCCGGGAAGCAAAAGATAATAAAGAACTGCAAACACGGATAAAAATGAAAACGCTGGAGGGCTGAGGGGTGGGGGTGGGGGGATCAGGTGTTTTCTACGCTGATCCAAATTTTCCTGATGCCTCTTCGTCTTCTCTCTTTCTTTAATCCCCCCGGCTTCGGATGAGGCGATTTAAAGTTTTACGCTAGACAAAAGCTCTGCTACAGTTTGTCTGTCTGTCTCCAGTCATTGACTGCGAGGAAGTTTTATCTTCAGAAAAAAAAAGAGAGAGAGAGAAAACACACCCAAGCAGTGGCCCAAAAACAACACCAGCTAAACTCCAGAGTATTCACACACACACACACACACACACACATATATATATATATATATATATATATAGATATATATATATACACACACACACACACACATGCATATAAAAAGACACACGTACACGCATGCACAGCAACAGCCCACTACTGCCACTTGGTGTAGTTTCAGCACCACTGCTGCTTGGACAGCTCCCGGGTTTCCCCATGCGGTGCGCCCAGCTCTCTGCAGCAGCAGCAGCAGCAGCTCCCTTCTCTCCTCCTTTTCTTCCAGCGGCTTTTCTGTCAACACGATTCTTCTTTTGGACGTTAAGAGTAAAAAAAATAAAAATACAAAAAATAAAGCAAGAAACCGATGGGAAAGTCGTCCGTAAAGCGCTAATCAGAGCAGGGTTTCCCCCCTTCGCTGTCGCGGTTAAGCACAGAAATGGGAGGGAGGAGAATTAAACGCGTAATAGAGACTCAACAGCGCCAACAAACAAAGAGACTTTTTTTTCCCCTGCTCGAGCTTATTTACTGAAAAAGGGGGAGATTCCTGCTCTGCAGGAAGAGCTGTGTCTCCCCAAAAAAATAATTTAAAAAAAAAATCCTCCGAATGACTTGGAGTCAAGTACGAGGCAGAGCAGAAGGAAGGAAGAGAAGCATGCACATACACACACAAATATATATAAATATAACACTGTGTGTATTTATATATAAATACACACACACACACACACACACACATACAGAGACATAGAAGTACATGAGGATCAACATTGCGTGTGCAGATGTCTCTCACCGTGAGTGTGGCCCGTCCTCTCTCAAAGCTGCAAAGAAAATGAGGGAGATGCACAGAGAGACATTGAGTTTGTTTTAGTGGAAACAGAGAAATGCAACAGATTGACACTCTGACACACACGCACACGCACGCACGCACACACACGCGCGCGCGCGCGCACATACACGCACACAAACACACACAAACACTTGTTTTCAAACAGGCTTACAGTAGCACGTCCAAGTTGGATCGCCTCCTTTCTTTCTTTGTTTCTTTCTCTTTTTTTTTCTTTACAAAAGTGAAACACGTCTGTCTATTTCTGGCTCACGATCAAAACTATAATGCTATTTTTAGCAGTGCAAAAAAAAAAAAAAAAAAGGGGGGGGGAAGCGTACACTCACGAGTGCATCGCTTGGGATCTTTACGTGAAGTGCATCATGTCTTTTTTTTCTTTTCTTTTTTTTTGGCTGTCTGTTTCTCCAACTCTGCTCAAGAGCGTTCCCCATCTTTGCGCCAAAAAATAAAAATAAAATAAAATAAAATAAATAAATAAAAGAAGTCAGTTTTGATCCTTTCATCGTCACTTTCCTTCCTAACAACTACACTGTGAACACATCGGCTACATCTGATGTCTTGTCGCCCTCTTCAGAAGCTTCTGGTTCCGGTGTTACTTCAGCTCACCGAAACTCCTGACCGCCAAATCTGTCCAAGTAGTGATGGACGCGGACCGCCCGGCGCCGCCTGCAGGGGATTTTCTTTCCCTTTCTTTCCTTCTTTTTTCTTTAGTTGACGGAGCGCTGTAAATTTGAGTAATTAAGCTTTGCTGACGAGAAGAGAGAGCAGGAGGGGTGGTGGTGGTGGGGGGAAATAAATAAATAAATAAAAAGCCATTTTATGTTGAAGGGCTGCGTCAGTTACTAGGCATTGACGTCACGTTTAGATTCTCTCACTTTCCAGCCCGTAAAGCCTGATTAAAGACTGCCTCTCTGCGCGCGCCTCTGTCCAAACTGCCATGGAAGAAGAAGAAGAAGAAGAAGAAGAAGAAGAAGAAGAAGA